GTGGAGGCAGCGGCTCTAACATGGGAATCACGTCGCTCTCTTCAGACAGCTCCTTATCGTCCTCTCCAAACAGGTTCTTGAGGGCTCGCTGTGCGGCCACCGTTGTGGCGTTGATGTCGATGCCAAGATCGGGGGCGACGTCCATGGCCAGGTCGCCGTCCTCGACATCCTCCTTCACTCCCTCCTCAAGCATCACGCCGGTGTCCACCTTCACCACGCGCATGTCCAGCACGCCATCAATCCATGCCAGCTCTGTGTCCTTGGCTTTGCAGAACTGCAGAGAGCTCACCAAGGAGTCCTTCAACCGCACCTTTATCATGAGAAGACGAGATTGAATGAAGACGCAGGCCTGTCATGGAAGGTTACTTTTATCCTCCGACACAGTAATTGCTAAATAAATCAACCCTGCAGCGGTTTCACTTCTTGGCGCGACTGCCGAGGAAGTGAAAAATGCAAAAAATGACCTGACAAAGACAGATCCATCAAATGTTACTATTTCACAGCAGAGCATTTATGAATCTACAAAACACATTTAAGGGGTGATATAACACGTTGTTTACCCAATCTTAAAGAGGCAACTGAATTCACTCTAACAGAGCAGCAGGGCCCGACCAAGGCGCACTTACCTGGTAGATGTGTGTCTCACTGGTAGCGTCTATAGTCTCCTGTAGTTTGGGTGTGTAGACCTTGATGTCCTTGCTGAAAGCCTTGCAAGACTCAGCCAAGTCCAGACTGGCTTCTGGAGGCCCATGAACGATCGCGAGCTGCCTAGGCTTCATCTGATTAATGATCTTCTTGATGGAGTCGCCATCAGAGCGACCTTCGTAGTCTATGTATGTTACTCTCGCTCTGAAAATGAACAAAGACATGTTTTTTTTTAATACTGCAGATTTGACGCAAACTACACAAATAATAACAGTGTCTACTGCAGAGTCATATGACCCGGGGATGAATGCTGATTGTGTCCACCCCCAGTGGAAAAGGGGGCTTGAGCTCCACTTTCAAACATTTATACTCATTCACACCTGGAGGCCATCCAACAACCACAACATAATACTGTACTGTTGGCCTCTGACCAGCTGTAAGGGCAGAAGATTCAACTACACAGTATTATGTGAATGAAAACCTACAGAGAGCCTGTTCTCATTAATATGATTCCCAGCGGTCCATAGCTTTGGATGGACACTCACCTAATTTCAAGGTTTTCTATACTGGAGATGCATTTGGTGGGAACGACAGAGAGATCCTGGTCCATAGGTTCATCACCATTGGTCAACCCAGATTCAAGTTTGCTTTTCTCCTCCTCTGTGGCTTGCAGTTCGGGAACCAGAAACTCCTCTAGTCTGTGAAAACAACAGAATTTGTTGAGTGTTAACAACAGGTTTGGAAAATCTCATGTGTAAATGTGTCAGTGTTCTAGTACCTGATGATTTCCCCATATTCGTCAAATCTGATCCTTTCCTCGTGCGTGGGGAACATTGGATACGATTTTTTTGCTTGTTTGAAGAAACTGCCTTTGCGGCTCCCCTCGCTCTTCATCATCAAGTCATGGTGTTTGCTTTTAACTACAGCAGGCTGGTCCAGATCATCGTCCATATCACTCTCATCGCTGGAGTCCACGTCAACCCTGCAGGAGCATCAAAAAAACATTAAAACAAATACAAATGGGTGTCATTCCAAGGGCAGATTTTAGTTTTTATAAATGTTGTTTTCATTATGTCATTACTCGATTTACAGATTTTTTTACAGCTATATATACCTATACCTATATATACCAGCTAAATGCATCATCGAGACAATTAACCAATAAACCACCAAAATGAATGTAGCGTCTCTCCACTGAGACTTACTCTTTTGCTTGTTCAAGTTTTTTAGCTGCTTCTTTCTTTTGTTTGTCCTTTTCAAGGAATTCTTCCAGCTCCTTGCCTTCCAGCTTCACTCTTTTCCTCACCTGTCAAAATGGAGAGAAAAGAAAGACATATTTAGTTGTTTCTTTAGCTGGGCCTGAATGTGAGTGAGGAGTAAACCAGCATCATGACCACTGGTCTCACCTCCAGATCCAGCATCTTCTCTCCAGGGTTGTCGATGAGGTAACGGGCCAGGGTTCCAGGTGTAGTGCGGTAGGTCAGGATAATGGAGTTTTTGGTGTCTTGGCACCACTGGATGAAGAGCTCCCGAGAAAAGCCGGACTCGAGGTCTGGCTGGCTGCAGAGAACCACCTTGGGGCTGGGCACCCGGGCCAGGTCTGCCAGACTGTGGCACAAGGTCAGGTGACGAAACTGGAAGGGGTTGTTTCTCTTGTCCTCAAAACATCTCATGAGTTTGTCACTCATCCACTCCACCTACGGACAAGCATAGATTATAAGAATGTTAAGATTTGCTGCTGGTATCTGCACCAAGACAACTTTTGGTATATACTCGCAAATGTGATCAGTGAACGTTACCTGGGACTTGGAAAACTCCACCACGTTGTAGCTGACATTGTTTAGCAGAGCAAGTGGGTAAACCCCCAGCCCAGCATCTTTTGTCCTCCAGATCTGGTCCAAGAGCTGAGCCAATTCCAACACACGGCCTGCTGTATCCACAGCAATAAGGACGTTACCGTCCCCTCGGAGGGTCTCCATCACATTAGCTGAGAGGAAAAAACACATACGAACATGTTTAAAATTAAGAAACTGTATTATTCACCTATTTTGTTCATCTTTTTTGTAAATTTTTCAGATATAAAAGAATGGCAGAGAATAATAAAAAATCTGAATCAGCTTTATTGATCTTTAAAAGTATACTTACTAAGGAGCTGCTCATCTCTTTGTTTACGACGTGGCTGCACATATGTGGCATTGAAGGAGTCTGTAATAAGTAAGGAAGGACGACTGATGCTCTCCAGTGTGCAGCCATTCAGGTGGCTAGAAACAGAGTAAAACAGGAAATCAATTCACTGCCCCAAAAACAATCCTGTATAAATGTTTATCTTGTGTCTGTGCTTACATCTCTCTCTTATGGTTGAAGTCCACGGCGTAAATAATCTCCTCCTCCTCGTCTTTCACAATTTTCCAAATGGTGCCTCCTATCATGTGACCGGCCGATAGGGGCGTGATGGAGAGACCATGTCCTTTGCCTGTTAAGTAAAAAGACAGATGTCAGAGAATTTGGTGGTGGTTATACCTAACCCCAGGTGACCTCTGGCCTATACAGATCTGCAACTCTCTCACCTTTCAGGTGGACAATCTGAGAGTATTTCAGCTGCTGGATTTTATCAAAAGCACAGTCCACATCGTCAAGAGTGAAGAGCGTGAAATCTTCACTGTTGTTTCGAGACTAAAGAGAATAAGAAATAATTTAGAACACAATTGTAGCAATGCAACTGAGATCTACATGCACAGCATTTTTTAAATTACTTCTCCTTACCTGATAAAGATCATACATGAACATCTGACCCATCTTATAAACAGGAATTGTGGCATAAATTGTACAGTTTAGACCCAGTTTGCCCACAGCATAGGGCAGGGCTCCCAGGTGTAAGGGGTCAGGGTGGGAGAGGAGCACAGCATCGACCTGATGAACATATCTGAGGAGGAGAAAGGGTATTTACATTCATTCATTTTGCATTTGATTTTGTCCAAAACGCATGCAAAAATATAAAAATGTTGTACAATCCAAACTGCAGTGGATCAAGGAAAAGTCTTTGCACAGACCACACAAGTGTCAACGTTGCATGACAAGAGATACAGAAGGATCAAGAGAGACAGGATGATTTTGGAAGATAAAAAGGGATTCAACTGAGTGAGTCAAGACAAATTTTCAAGTCACCAATAATCAGGTGCTCATATGAACATTGAAACTAGTTTTATGATGAGATAAGATGTGCATTTATTGATCCCCCTGAAGAGGAAATGCACTTTACTTGCTGTAATAGTTTTCTCTGTTCTAACTGGCTGTTCAACAATTCCATCCTGAGTGTAACTGTCCTGTTGCTTGCAAAATATAGGACAATCTGTTCATGAAGTTAACATTCTCAGCGGTAAAAACTATTTCCTCTGAATATCTGGACAGTTTCGATATTAAACTGCAGTAGAAGAGTAGCAACAAAGAGGGAATGTTGTATTAAGACAAGATATCCACTTGGAGAGGTTTTAAAAAGTTTGCAGAGGTTTTACTCTGCATGCTACAGAGGACAGATTACTTAGATTAAGAAAACAGGAGACCAGACGGGACCTAGCATGTCATATATTGTCATCGATCATCACACTTGGTTCAATCTAAAGAATGACAGAGTGGGGCATCATATTCACCGTTTCATAGCATCGATGATTTCCATGGAGAAGTTCTCATCCCAGCCACAGTCTAGGAGGAACCGGAATTCATCCACCTGCAGCAGGTAACAGAGGGCCGACTCCTCCTGGACCCCTGACACGGCTGTCAGCTTGATAATGGACGTCATTCTTCTTCAGATGTCCTGCTGAAAGTACAGTGACGTCACTGGATGAGACTGAATCACCACAACGAGCTGAACATCAACATCTTCGTTCTTCACGAATCAGTTCCATTAAAACTACAGGAGAAAACAAAGAAAAACCACGACGCTGTTTTCAAGTGAAAACGTCATCATATATAACTGCAGGTTCCAGAGCGTTCTATAAACAGCCGAGCACAAGTTTAACAAATAAACACAATGTGGATGCTAGTAGCCGTTAGCTCACACGTCCAACAACGCTGCATCTTTAGCATGCTAGCTACATGGTAGCGTGTGGGTGTGTGTGATTTAAATCGAAAGAGGAACGTGCAACACACCATTCAACGTGACACGGTGTAAATCCCCTGGGGTTGTCAGGGACAAACTACAAAGTGGAGCCTCTATTATTCCAACTTTAAGACATTTTGACTCCAGACTTGAACAAACACACTGGACTCGCCGACATGTTCGCGCTGCGTCAGTGTCAAAGGGCAAACGAGCGTACCACGTGTAGAGGTGCCAACCAATGCAGTTCTAATAACAAAACACTGTATTTTCATTATTTCATCGCACAAAAATTAATTCCAAAATCCGACTGATAATGTGAAATCACTTTTTTTTTTCGCCGTGATGCTCAAAAACATTGCGGCAGTAGTTGTTTTTGTAGCGTCTCTCCTGTTTAAGCCCCCACGCCGTAAGTCGGGCAGTTGGTACAGTCCAGTGTCCTCTGTTGATAGGAGAGCTAAAGGCCGCAGCTCGAAGTCACAACAAGGTAAAGTTCAGACATTTTAAACCCGTTTAAAGCTCATCGTTGTTTGAGTGTGTGTGTGCTTTAACACGTTTACCGTACTGCAGGATAACTAGCTATCCCAAACGAGACACGGCTCTTAACGAAATCAGGACGATTAATGCGCATGCTACATGGCTACCCTGGTTAGCTAGCCAGGCTACTGGAGGTGATCCCAGGCTGTTAGCTGTTAGCATGTGTTTTTAAAAACTGAGCAAAAGCTTAATTTAACTATGTGCAAATGAAGAAATGATCGAGGCTGCAGCAGAGGAACTGTGCACATTTCCTGTGTTGTCATTTGGGAAGCTGGAAATCGAGGCTCTGTTGAAATGTATATGTGATGTTTGTTATTTTGTCAAATAAGAAAATCTGTCATTTTATTTTGCATTAATACATCAATAACATAAATCTAGCTTGATGCCAACTTTGTTTGGCTAATGATTATCTCCACTGTCTTATAGAGCTGGGTAATAAAACAATAGCTAACTATCGCAGTATCATTTATCAATAAATATAAAGTAAATACATGTTTTCAAACCACAACCTTCACTCAGGAGTTTAATCCAGTCTTTAATAAATAATGTTACATTTATCATGATTGTGTTTTGGTCATATCTCCCAGTTTCACTGTCTTCAGATCAAATCCCTTTTAAAATAAATGGGTTTTCATTTAGGTGCAGACAGAACAACAGAGTACATATGGTTTAGAGGTGTCAGCCAATGTAGTTGTAAAATAATGTGTACTGACCTCTCCAGTGTGTTCAGTTTCCTCAACATGTACATTTGCACTGGTTTGTTTTTAGGGGCTGTGATAATCAAAATCACAGTGAAAGGCAATTGTATTATTATATAGTATGTTTCATGTTCATGGTTTGATAATGAATCCATCAGTTTAAGTGACAGCCTGAATACATTTGACCTGAGAGTAAAACTAAGTGCATTGTGACTGTTTTGTTTATTTCTGTAGGAACCATGGTCAACTTTATCTCACTAGCGCGTGACCACTGGGTGAACATATTGGTGCCCATGGGTTTTGTGATCGGGTGGTACCTCGACAAACAACAGGACCAGAAGTTGACAGCATTCAGGAACAAAAGTATTTTGTTCAGCAGGTAAGAAAAAGCTATTACCTACCTCCATGTTTAAGTAAAACAGGCGAGTGTATTGAATATCAGGTTTTATTCACGTACTCTAACTTTGTACATATTATATGTATGAAGTTGCACAGTTGCAGTCTGGAGATCGGGGAATGCATGAAGTTGCATCAGCTTCTACATATACAGTCACTCCCCAACTAAATATTTTAGGGTTTTTTTATGAGACGATAAAATTTCATAGTCATATCAAAACACTTACTGCAGCCTGTAGCTGTGAAGAGGAATTTAAAAAACTGTAGAAAAAAAGATTTATTTGTAAATGTGAAACAGTTCAAATAAGGTTCCTACATTTTTACAGCAGCCTCAGAGTGTTTGAAGTGAAAGCAGAAGATTTATTCCGTAATGGACTGCTTAAAAAGGTCATCTAATGCCAGCCGTGGTCGAGGCACCAACATTATGTAACTCTCTAATTTGTCCTCACCATAGGGAACTGAAGCCTGGTGAGGAAGTTACCTGGAAGTAGACGACTCCTGTGTCCTGTGGTGTGAATGACTGATGTGTGCCCCTCAAATCAGATTATTTAAGAAGACTCCTATACCTCTGCTTTTGGGTTATTTCAAACAGTCATCTGAAATCTTTTTGAGTTGTATCAACCAATAATAAAACATGCCCTTTCTCATCAAACTCCGTTTCATTCTATCTTTAAAAACTGGTTCATCTGATGCCGAACATAGAACGTTTATTCATGAATGTCTTGTTCAGCAAAATCATTCCAGCACAGCTAATGAATATATTTGGGACAAGAAGTGGTTTGAATCAAAGATTGTATTTTGTACAAAGGCAGTTTTAATCTACTCAGTCAGCATGATTAAAGAATCTTAGACCATTACAGAGGTTCTTCGGTGTGGATAATCCCCTTCTCGAATAGCAGCTCGGCCAAAGCAACCTGGACAAAAAGGAAAAAAAGAACTGGTCACAGACAGGCTCAGATATTTATCATTTAGAATTGATATCTTTGCAAAGATGTTTTTTTTTGTCTTTAACGCATACATTTCCAAAAGCAAACCCCATATGGTCATACATTTACAATATACCTTGTCCTCAGCAGAATCGCATGGGAAGCTTCCTACATTCACAAACTCGGGATAAGAATGGATCAGAAACTCGATGGCGTCCGTGTGCTGCAAGAAAAACAATTATTAGTCATTGACACTCAGCCGAGCGCTTCGTTCTACACATGAATTGCACAGAACTTCCAGTGTCTACCTCCGTTTGTATTTCAAAACTCTTGGGCTCCTCTTTGTGGTAAACTCTGGAGTTTTCTGTGGTGTAGTAAAGATGAACGGCCTCTCCATCACTGCATAACCTGGCAAAGAGAGAAAGCTTGAGCTAACTACTTGAATAAATAGATTTTGAACATTGTTATTTTATCGAATTTCTGCTTAGCGGATCATTGGAGCAGGTGAGACACTAAACTCATTGTTTTCTGATGCGTATGTGTCGATAAAGAATGTTCACCGTTTAATTACCTGGCACATTCAGCGCGGAGGACTCTGACTTGGGTCTGCATATTGATGCGTTCACCCACATTCACAACTTGCCCACATTCCCACCTAACAGGGGCCCCTTGAACACTGGTGGCCAGTTCCTCTGTAGAAGATGCAGAGAACAGACTGATCATTATTCACAAGTCGATCAATTGTCTCATCTCCAGGTAGACTTATGACAAAATCAGGCATTAAAGGTCTGTCCAATGAAAACATGTTTCCATACCTGGAGTCAGGACGGGAGGGAGGCAGTCATGGAAGAAATCTCTGGCTTTCTGATCCACAGCTGCATCGACCGGGGCGAAATTCTTAAGCCTCTTTATCAGATTCTCGATCCGGGAGAAGAATTTTATCCTCCGTGGGTCATCCTGCACGAGGAGGACTGGAGTTAGTAAATGGTGAAAGGACAAAGGAGTGTAGCAGCAGCTGAAAAATGAACGGCCTCACTACCTTGTCAGAATTCTGTACTCCCATGTATGACAGGTAGTCCAGAGGTAGACCCTGTCTGAAGTCCACATCCTCCTCCATCGCGACTTCCAGTGCAGCAGGAACAACCTGAAAAGAGCAGTTGGTGACTTTACAGAAGTATTTAAGATGATGTGTACTCCCGGCAGCATACATCCTGTTCACATTGTACATATATTATATATTTCCTAATTATTACATTGTTAACTTACTTCTTACACTTAAATTTAAATGATAATCCACATTTTTGGAATTTGCCGTACTCAAGTTTACCAAAAAAAGCTCTAGGATAAGTTTGGTAAAAAAAACAGACCAAAACATAACCAATAAATTAAAAATGTCAGATTTCATGTTGAGTTTAGGGTTTTGCTTGTAGCGTAAAGAGATAATCTAAAAGTTTGGTTTTATTTCCATCGATGGTTCAACCATTTGTGTTGTCACTGCTGAACTACAAAAACAAATGATGTATTCTTGACAACTGCGAAGGCAAACGTAAAATGTTAAATGTCCAATTTATTAATATTTGTTTCTTGAATGTTACTTTGAATAAATCAAAATTCGAGCATCAAAAGGGAAAATGTCATTGGTTATTCCAATATACTTATAATACAGACTTCATCTTCTTCTGCCACCATCGCGTGAGTGTGTATTAACCTTCTGCAGCAGATCGCCCCAGCTGTTCTTCTGGAAGGAGGAGATGGTGATGTGCAGGGAGTGAGCGTCCGGGAGGCAGTCGCCCTGGTGGATGAATCCTCTGGGGAAGTAGAGGAGATCTCCAGCTTCCAGCACCACCTCCAGGATCGGCCGCCCGATGTCTCTCTGATCGAAGTTCGCTGGAGAGGGAACGTAAAAGAAAAGATGGATTATCAGCTGCATTAGAAGAGTATAACATCAAAAAAACCGCTAAAGATTTTACTCACTACTTGAAAGCACAGGCAGCACCTCGTCGTCGGTCCTAAAAAAAGTTAGAGGAACAACTCAGAGTGGGTTCCTTCATATCTGTTTCTCACATATTAAATTGAGACAGGTTGTTTATTAGAAATGTCACAAACCCTAAATATACATACATTTTATATAAACACTGCATATCATGACTACCATACAGTGAATAACAACAAACTGCTGTAAAACACTTTTATATTACTTTTCGTTCATTTTCAGTATTTTAACCCTTTGCAAGTTTTTTAAAAAACTTTTATATTTATTTTTTATGTTAATAACACAAAAAATGAATTATTTTCTGTGTAGTAAATGATAATGAATTCCTTTCATCACTGATTAGCAACAACATTTTGCATTATTAGGTTTTGTGTAGTGTAACATTTTAAATGAAAACTCCCTCTCAGCACCCTGGGGACAAAAAGGTTTCACAAAGGTAAAATACAATTCAGATGTGTAAAATTAAACAGCAGTTTCTTTAATTTTTCTCTAATGTAAATGAAGTAAACATTTGACAGCGTGAATTTAACTTTGTAGCTGTATCTTACCTCGGCTTGTACACTCTCCAATGTTTCTTCCCTTCCAGCTGAACCACAAACGCCTCAATGTCGTCATAATGTGGAGCAAAGCCTTGTGTTCCAGGTGGTGTCAGGTATCTGGTGAAGGAAGGTACACACATTTAATACCAAAACAAAAACTTTGAAACTACAATGACACAAAGTTATCCCCCCTCGACAGTCCCCTTAAATCCAATCAAGCTGCATTAAATTTCACATACTCGTAGATAGAACTTCTTTAAATATGTCTGTTTTAGTTTTTTTATCAAGATCCATTAATTATTTCCTGGGAAATTGGTGAAAATGTTGAAAAACTCCCCCTGGATATCAGTCAAATAGATTTTGCGTAATCCTGCTAACAGACGTAAACACAGACGCAGGTAAAAACTGAAACACTAGATCTAAATATCTCCATTGACGGGTTTTTGTCTCGGCTTCTTACACGTTGGCTCCTGCCATGCTGCCGAACTGCTCCTGAAGGATGGACAGCACGTTCCAAACGGTGGAGGAGAAAGCCTGAGGATTCAGCAATCGAAGGGAGCAGCCACTCTGGAAAAAAAAAAAAATGGAGACACAGTCAGTAAGTATGATGATTGCTAATCTGCAGTGAGAGCGCTGTGCAGACTTTGAGCTGATTTGGTTAATTCGCAAAAATGTGTCCCTGAACAGATAAACATGCATATGACTGATTTTCCACCTGACTATTAAAAATGTAATCAGAACCATAAAAATGCATAATTACTTTAATATTGCATTAGAAATAACAACATTCTGTATAAATACAAATCGACTGCCTGCATCACAGCATCTTGTTCACCTCATAGAAGTTCCACACAGTGAGTGGCAGAGCTCGCCCAGGGGGATTGTGCGTCTCCCTCTTGCCGTTGGTGTAGCTCGTGACGTCCAGGTTCACGCCGTACTGAACATCCTCCTAAAATTGAAAAACATTATGTTTTCTGTCTTTATATGAACTAAGCAATGAGATGAAACTTTAGAAAACTTCCCTTGACAATTATCAGCCAATACAATTAAAGATTCAAGAAGCAATAATCGTAATTAATGTGGCCATTTAGAAAAAATCAAGATATGTCTGACCTGACCAAGTCTAAATTCTTGTTTTAATATATTTCTTTCTGGAATTACAAGACACCCATTAATTACAATACAGTCTTCTTATATAATTATAATTCTCCAAAACATTTCTGAATTATGACCAGTTTTGGAGTTCTGGCTGAACTGTAATATACTGTATGAATATTTATATATAGTCTATGATAAATGCAGTATGATGCAAAGTGATGAGTGTTAAATTTGCATTATATTTCAGATTCTTACTTCTCTTAATATGCGATCGAACTCTGCTGTGGAGAACAGTCCCTTGTAGAAATGTGGATTCTTGCGTTGAACGAGAATGGGCTTCTTTTCCCACGTGTCCCTTACGGAGGAAAAATATTCATAGGTTAAGAAAATGTGCATTTGCTGTAAAATGCATTGTCTTGTCATCATTTGGAAGATTTCTAAACATATTTCTTGTGGTTGTAGTTCACGATTTCAATGATCCTACACACACAGAGAGAGAAAGGAAGACACACATCTATACCTGAAGAAAGCTTTGGCAGGAACAGGGTGAATGAGCCACCTGAACAGTTGGCTCGCTCTCTCCCTGCTGTTGTTGACTCTCGCCAGCTCGGCCAGCAAAGTATCAACCATCTCACTTCCAGCCTCGCCATCACCATTTACACACTCCTGCTCCTCTACCTCTCCCTCCCCCTCTTCCTCCTCCGGCTGCTGCTGTTCCTGCTGCTGCTGCTGCTGCTGCTGCTTCTGAAATATAAAGACTCTGTTCATGTTTCAGAAGAAACAATAAAACCACTGATTCTGTAACATTTGATGGATGTGGTCATCAACGTGGCAGATATCTCATCTTACCTCTGTGCTTCCTTTCGGTCTCTCTCCTCTCTGTGCAGACTTCTGCTGCTTCTTTTTCATCTTCCTCTTGTCAGACTTCAGTTGAGCTTTAAGTGCGTTGGTCTTTTTAACTGCAAATCCATTTTCCTTCCTCTTTCTCTTCTTAGTGACCACCTAGAAAAAAATACAAGGAAACACATAATGTCAAACATTACAGCTGGGACATAAACAGTAGATGATCTAGTTTCAGTTCAGTTCCCTCTGCACTTCACCTTATCTCCAATTCTGGGACACTCATATTTCCTATTACTGTTCGACTTGTTTTATTCTCTGTCCAAACATCTTTATCTGTGAATCAACGCCTCTCTTTCTTTCTCATAAGCATTACTATTCTCATTTGCTCTATTCACAACTTGAATTACTTAGAGTATGACTATTTCTCAACCACATTAACTACCTCTTGTATTTTTACCAAATTATGATTATATATTATATTCTTCCCCCCTTTTTCTCCATCATCAGCAAACTGCGGACAAAAATATAATCTTTCATAATAGGGAAAAATACTGGGCTGATAATACTACCCTGTGGAGTTCCATTATGAACCGTATACCTTCCTGGTTCCTAATTCTAATTTGTATATGTATATAAAATAAAAAGCTTTTAATCCAATAATATGTTCTTCTTACTAATCCGTTCATATCAGATCAGGTCATCACACCTGTGATGTTTAAAGTGTGAGGAGGAACATGAGAGGAATCAGAAGGGAGAGATGAGGGAGGAAGAAGTAGTATCTGATGTAGTAGTAGTAGTAGTAGTAGTAGAAGTAGTATAGGGGTGGTAATGGTAGTAGTAGTGGTGGTATTAGTATTTGGTGAAGTAAAAGCAGAGGTGTCATGTTTAATGGTTCCTACCTGAGGAGGAGGCTTCTTTGCAGGTGGAGGTTCATCTGGTGGCAACGTTTGATACAAAGCAAAAGCAGACATGTGTTTTCTCTCCATTTTCCAGGAGGGCTACGTCATCACCCTGCGACCGAAGCAGCGAATACGCCTTCTTCTTCTTGCATTTGCTGCCCGCTGGGCTCACTACCGCCGCCTGTAGAGTCACAGACGACATCACAGCCCGGTCTGGAGTGGATGGATTTTCTGCAACAATCCAAAAAAAGAACATTTAGGTTTTCTTTTCAAAATAAAATGTCAACCAAAAGCCTCATACACATTGAATATACATTTCAAATTGGCTTCTGTTGCTATTTATTTATTTACTCACTCTTACTCACTCTTACTCACTCTAATACTTGATATTTATTATTTTGTTTTCACCATATTCACAGCCATTTTACAATTTCTATATATAACTTTACTCTTTTCACATTTAATTATTTTTACTTTATCATTTTGTTTTTACCTGCCTTTGGTGTTCCCTCATTCTGGTTTTTATATATTTTTACTAAAGCTACTTTAAAGCACCTTGTGTTACACTGTCTGCATGAAAAGCACTTTACAAATAAAGTCTGATCGATTGATATCGCTGCATTTATTTTCCATTAAAACAAATTCTACAAGATTATAAATTGGACATGTTTGCGTACATGTGTTTTTTGGGAATATAAATTAAATTAAATTATATATATATATAAAAATCCACTATTTCCACCACTTCAAACAATCAGGTGAAATTAATGTCAAACGACATCAGTACCGATGTTGACCACCAGGTGTAGCATTTAGCCCTTTTTCATAATTCCCTTCAAAGCGTCCGCTTCATAAACACCATGTCCCACAATGCTCCGCGGCGGGCTGTCGGTGCTGTCTGTCCGTCCGTCGCTCCGACACAATGCAGCTTTTAATGGAGCTGAGGCTGTGAGCGGTGCGGGGCTCGAACACGCAGCAGCACAGCGGGCTCAACCGGACACCGTGAGCCGCCCGGACCCGACCCGCCGAACTGTTAACGGTGTAACGGAGCCACCGAGCGGCCGCGACTCGGTTTATCCCCGGGACTCCGCAGCGGTGAGTAGCCGCTGAAGCTAACGCGTTGTGTTGTGACCACTGCTGGCTAACAGGCTAGCTAATTGACCAGATGAGACATATGTCCCCCCCCTGTCCCCCTGCAGCACAGCAGCTGGGTGTCCTCTGTTTGTCTCGTTTTAAATGTGACACTGTTGGAAATGTAGTTTTTTTTTAACGCATAAAGACTTTGAAGTCATTTTTTGCAGCCGATGAAAGTCGTGAGTGTTTTTGCTTTGATCTCGGCTGAGGTACACGTCAACCAGCCGGTGGACCCGGTGCTTCAGCCGGTGACGGTTCCCCGGTGCGTGACTCCTCCGGTAACCATCCCAGTTCAGTGCACATTTTGATGTGATCGCCTCATCCCTCAAACACGCCTTCAGAGCAGAAGGTAGAATGTCACGCCGAGTTCCTTTAAAAAAAAAAAAGTGACAATTAAACGTCGACCTCCTTGTTGTCGTGCACACACACAGGCGTTACGATTCGCGGTGGTTGTAAAGATCAAACGTAAGCTTCCCGGTTAGGTGAACATGCCTGAATACACCGAAAGTATGTACTAGTGAGTGCTGTCTAGGGTGTGCTCAGCAAGCAGCCAAACATGCATGTCTGCAGCTCTTGCTCTCAATCCAACTGTGGAGTTGTAGATTAGGTAATGGAAGTTCTGTTCGGGGTGTTTGGAAGGTTTTAGATCTTGCCCTGTCAGTCATGTCGTGCTTTTTATAATGTCTAGCTCACTGCAGACCTGTGTTCATTAGAGAGTATTACCAAACATCGCTGGCACTAACCAACCTTCCTCTAATGTGTCTTTTCTTTGGGGGAACTCCCCATTGATTCTTTAGCTGACATCCCATTTCTCTAAATTTGCTGACTTGAAATCTCTTACTGTTACATGGCAACTGTTCACTCTACAGCCTCCTACATTAGTTGTACGACTCTCTCTCTCTCACTCTCTCTCCCATCTGTCATTGTCTGATTACCACAATGCAAATTAAACAACATCAGAACACACAACAAATTCCACAAAAGAGAGGTGTTTATTAGATGTTCTGTTCATTGAACGATTGCAGGATGGTTGCATGAACTTGCATTAGTTTTAGCTAGGTGTACCTAATAAACTGACTACTCCATACAAATGTAGTGTCATTTTTATTTTGGTTATTAAACAATGACTGGCTGAACAGATGAGTACAGTCATCTTAAAGCACTGAACACGATTTGGAGTGTTGTATACACCAGCCTCTTGCAGTTTGGTTACAGCCAAGTTGCCACCATTAAGACGAGGCTCAGCATGTTTGTGGGAACAGTAAAGTTACTGCCAGGGGGCACTGCTTTTAAACCACATTTTAGTCACCAGTAAATCAGTTTTCACTTAAGATTTCTTGGCCCAGAGGTGATCACTTCAGCCTCACCAGAGTGTGGTGACGTTATGTGGCTGTCGTCGGAGCGTTTGTGCATTTTTACTCAGCAGGAGGAGGGTTTTGTCAAATCAGATGGGAAATCCTTGTTATTGATTTGAAAATATGAGCCAGATTTCAGTTTGACTGCATGTTATGTCGCGTTTTTGTCTTTCAAAGTCTGAAACTTGGAGAAACGAAGTTGCTGAGCTTGTACATATGCAGTGTCCAAGAATCCTATGAGGCAGAGGAAACTAAACAGGGGAATCCAGTGAGAAGTGCAAAATATTAACCTGACGTATAGAGGCAAGAGTTCACATTTCACATCGGGACTGTTTGACTTTTCCTCACTTCCTAACCATTATCCAAATATCACGTTGTGAGGTATTTCTGTCATGAATAATTCGATTTTGGCATCTTTGTGTAGGATGTTGAGGATGGACAGATTGCAGGCCAGTTGTCTTTCACCTTTTAATTAGGGTCAGTGAATGTATCACAGCAGATCGATGCTAGTGTTGGTTATAAATTGGTGTTTTTATTTAGAAGCATTTTTCCCCTCATTGATATTTATTTTCTGTGCTGAGATAAACAACAGCTGTATTTGTTAACTGTGAACTGCACAATTGAGGCTGTCAGATTAAATGTCAGAACAAATTTGGTTGAAATGTCAGATGCTGGTAGGGATTTTATGTTTAGATAATGTTGTAAATATAAGAAATTAAAATGACCAAACATCTGTTTGTCTGATTTGTACTTTTTCCCCTGTGGCTGTGGCAGATGGAACCACAACATGCATTGATAGGCAGCGTGTAAAGTGTATTCCACTGTGAACACTGATATTGATCTTTTTTTCTCATAGAGTTGCTGTTGCCACACTGTGTTTGGACATTTGTTTTTCTTGTGGCCACATAGTCCACAACTGCCACAATGCAGAAAAACTGCAAAATCAGCATTTTGTTATATCAAATCATTCGGTGGAGAATTCTTTGGCCTGATGTAGATGTTGTACTTCAGAATAACAAAAAACTGTGGCTTTTGAAACACCAAAAAATGCATTTTCTCACAGACTAAACCAAAATTATAACATGGTTGCACATTTGGTTTTATGTGTGATTTCATAAGTCTTTGATGTAAACAAATGGCTGACAATTTAGTAACCGCAGTACAAGCTTCTAAATGTGTTAGCTAACACTTAAGTCATGGACTGTTGGATTCTCTAGGGGACAGTATTTCAAAAACACGTTTGACCAATCAGTGTCATTTGTCAATCATGATGTTTTGCACTGTTGTTATAGCATCAACAAATTAATTAAAACCAAACTTCAACACTTTAACATGCATCAGTATGAAAAGAAAAACCTATACTTTTTAGTTTAGCCCATGTCCCATCTGCTAACATGGAGGAGCCGGGGTTTTCCAGGTTGTGATGGGTGTAATTAAGCCTTAAGGTGTTCTTTCTACTCCCGATCTGATATTTTGACCAATTTATTCTCATCCGTGCGACTTGTTTTATTACAGTAGATAAGTCACCCGCCACGTCTACGAGTCAGAAATCATAACACAAAAGTCAAATTGAGTGCGTGGTTCGAAGTGAAGAGAAGGAGATCTGGAGCTCATGTTGCTGAAATCAAGTTAGCGCTGTTCTGACTGAAGACAACAACAAACGTTTTTCACAGCAACATTTTGACATGTCATCGCAAGAGAACAACAGATGGAACTAATCACATGAAGGGTTTCTTAATGTTTATTCTGGGCTTCCAACCCTCTTTTATGTTATTGGTTACGCATGTGCTTTCTCTTTCTAGCATTCTTACAGCCTTTGGAGTGAAAACAATTAATTGATGAATTAACCTGGTTTAGGGCTGTTGTACTTATATCAGGGATGGAGTATGCTTCTTCATGGCAGCCCTGAGATATGATTTTAGCCTGGTAAAAATGTCACAGGCCAGTGTGAGAGAATCTGGTTGTGTGTTAAAAAAATGAGGCATTAATTGGCATGTCCTTGTCAAATGCAACCACTATCTCTCAACTTCCCTTCTGTCCAAACTGTCTTGCTCTCCTCTGGGAAAGCGCTGTGGTTTAGCTGAATAGCTGAGTGTTCTCATGGAGGGGCAAGCTCTTCTACCTCTAATGAACATCTGCTTCAAGAGGCAGGAGAAGTACGGCTACAGAACCCAAGGACAGCTTATTCTGTGTGTTTATTGAATAACAGCAGAGAGAAGAACAGATGTAACAGCTTGTAGCTGTAAGAAGAGAAACATGCTGGAGAACGAGAGATGGTACGACTAGCTGTACTTTTGGCAGAGTCAGAAAACAGCAGCACTCCATGCCGTGCTCACTGTAGGGTTTCTCAGCTAATTCGCTTTCCAAACAGAAAATCTAACTTAAATAGGAGCACAGTTTCCCCTCCTCCACTGGACCTTAGTTAGTGCAAGTCACTGTCAAGCTCAAGGTAAGTGTTGTGTGAGTAAAGCAGTTAAAAATAAATATGATGTTGTGAGGCAAAATGGAATATTTGATTGTCAGTCCCCCTTTTTTTTTTTTTTTGACAAACCACACAGAACATGTCTTGTGAGAAGAACGCAGTCACTGTTACAATGAGGCCATTCCAGAGCGATGAGTTTGATCTGCGCCCCCACACAATTTTGCCACTTGTTGTTCTTGACATACCGAGATCGAGCCCTGTGCCTTTGTAAGACGGAATGGGCACTGACGACATGACTTAATGCTGTGTGAGTGCCCCTCGCTGACACTCAGGTGCAGTCTCTTTTGGGGTGGTACACTGCAATAATTCTCCCATGTCAGGGGCTAATCACCCTGGCTCCCCTCCCACAATCCATCAGTGTCTGGAGTATGAGGCTTGCAGGGTTCTGGCAGCTGTTGTCGGGTTGAGTCAATCTGTTATGGTCTACGCCAGCCTGCACAGGAGGGGGTGAGAAAGAGCTCTCAGGAGGACACAGCGAGCGGGGCTGCTACTGCTGCCACGGAGAGATAACACAAGGATTTATTTGTTAGGAGGGTGAGATTTCAGGGCTTGTATGTTAATTTTGCTGAGTTAGCTGCTAACTTTTTCCATTTGAAACCTCCACAATGGAGATAATGATACAGACAATACTATATAATACTGATTAAAGTGCACTTACTTCTGTCCATAGCTCAAGCTATATATATATATCTCCACAGGAAATGCCTTTGACTTTCAAAGTATTTGTGCAAATAAAGATCAAAGTTATATATGTCTATATTGGTCTTATTTTGGGAACAGGCACAGCACTCAGTGGATTCAAATTGCTTAAATGTCTTAGCTTGACATTTTATTATTTTTGTGTGATTATCATGGCTTACAAACTAGTCCTATTTATGGATTTAGCCTAAATGTTGATATTGGAGGTTTGGCACAGAGTGGTGTTGATGCTGTGAGTTGGCAGAGACCTCACAATTTGACTCAGTTGTCGAGGCAAATATTTGGAGTCATGCTTCCATTTGCAGTCTGTTCAGAGTGCATGTCTGTTCACAGCTTTTCGGGGGCAGACGGAGGGGAAAGTCTCCATAACCCTTTTATGCAAACAACATTTGTAGACGTAATGCTGCACCAAAAACATGCTCAAC